GAGCTGAGTTGTGAATCGCTCGTACAAGAAGTGCGTCGTAGACTAGATAATTTTGTGCTGGTAAAAACGTTTTACAATATCACAGGTACTTATCTTATATAAGAATTATTAAGAAATCTATTGTTGCGTTAGTTTGTTGCGTTATACTATGTACAAGATGGATGACATTGAAGCTAAAAGACTCCATAACGCAGAATATATGAGACAGTACAGAAAACGTAAAAAAAAATAGAAGTATTAAATAATGAACCTAAAGTTCCCAAAAAATACGAAAAACTAATGCTGAACATATGAATGAATATATTGATGATTGTAAGAGACTTATTTTGAGTCATTTGAGAAATTATACAAAGATGTTTTCAGTTATGGCCACAGAAGATCCTAATTCAATGCCGATAATATTGACAGGAGATAACATTGATTTAAAGAAGGAGGAAAATCAAAGCTTTGTCACATTTATGGAGGAAACGTTTGGCTTAATGTTGATGTCAAATCCTCAATGTAGTACTACTACATCAAAATCTTGTATAGATATGTTGATACTCTAAAGTGCACAAATTTTATAACATATTTCAGCTACCACAGACCCATCTTAAGCGTAACTAATTCAAGGTAGGCAGTACTGTCTTACTCAAACTTTAATCAATTGTAAAGCATGTATAAAGCCACTATATAAACTCCTTACCGTATAGACGTATTTACGTCAAATTCTCCGGAACCGTAGTTCCACTATAACTTTTTGACTGAGCTATGGGGTTCGATTCATGGCGTGAATAGATGTCTCTTACCTCCCACATGTAGACTGGCTCAGGGATGTACTCATCCTCCTGTCCAGTGGGTTTACCTGAGGGTTAAAGCAGACGTGGCATGAAGCTGACCACTGAACTCTTGTGTCAGGCTCAGGAAAGAATGGAGCAATAGTTTCACTTTACTGTGCTTTCTGGATTATAAGAAGAAATGTTCCTGGAAAAGAGTTACATCTGGAAATGGAATATGTGTGGATCATTTTTAAAGATGTTCTTGGGGAGTCTTGAAATGCACGTAACAAACTGAAGGGGCAGAATATACTTGTAGCACTCATTTCTGGCAATTATTTTACATAGAAGTAAGTCACGTGTCTCAAGTGAAAATGTTGATTATGTCTTATTAAATGTGTCTGTTGTCATGTATATTGGCTTACACAGTTTTATTTTAGGGTTTTATTTCACGTATGTGGAGTAAAATGCACAATTATTTATGTGTATCAATTTGTAAGACCAGTTGTCGCTAAATTGCTGTGGTCAGCATCTGTTATTCTTCGTCGTGCTTATGTACGTAGTATTTCATGTATTTTTTGTAAACGAGTTTATCGTGAAGATTTGAGGTTCGTAAGGCGGTGAAGATGACAATGTTCTGGTTTGTGCTCCTCTTCTGAGTATCCATTTCATTTTGTGTAACGTAACTTTTATATTTGCAATTGTTTCTTGTTTTAATTTCATAACAGCATATTTGGATAGCACAGAATATTGCATAGTAACTTAGTTGTTCTTTATGAAATTTCTGTACTGGCTGTCTTGATCTAAGACATTTTTGTTTATTCTTTTTTTTCATACACTTATTTAGGGTGTCTACTGTAAGAGATAATTTTAAATTTCCAGGTTTTCAGGTAAAATATTTTGTATTCATTTGTCAGTTTTTTTAGAGTAAAAAAAATTATACTTTTATCGGTGTTCTTAAAAAAGTATTAAACACAGCTGGAGAATTGTGTGTTTAAAGGAATATTATTGTTTTCTTGTCTAGTGAAAGTTAAAAAATATGATTTTATTGTGGTTGTCTTCTTGGTTGTGACGCCACGTGGTTTAGTAGATGGTTAGCCATGTTCCTCCGAAATGTAGATTAACTGTCCTCGAGACCATTTGGCATCGTGACAAAGAAGACCATTTTAATTATATACCACGCCTGTTAGAAGGTATGGTAATGTAACCCTTAACGGTTGCTTTGTATCTGACACGTATTTTAATCAAATTTTTTGGTAGATGTTAAAATATTTTTAATAATAATAATGTGCTTCTCCTGAAATCCTGTACAGTCAGATTTCCATACCAGTAGGCACCCTACTTGCATTCTGGTCATAACTCTAGCACTATCGTCTTATTTTCATGCTTCCGCTTCTAGAAGGAAATGGCACTCGGTCATACACATCCCTCACCCCAGTTAACCCTACTGTAGGTAAGGATTATGCAATAACATTGTGATGTGGTGAGCAAAGGATCTGACGACTGGGGAGGGGGGGTTACAGAGTGTACTGGCATTGTGACGGTATTGTCTTACAAATAGTTTTCTTGTTTATGCAGTTGTTTTGAGAGCATGTGCAGAAATGATGAGTTTAAAATTCACCGTAAATGTGAGAGACTGCATTGATTTTAGTCACCTTGTTCCTGGGACATGTAAGACACTTGAGAGCCGCATATCCGATTAAGAATATCGTTAACAAATATTGCTTCATTCAAAACAGATATCCCGTCTCTGCCGATATCTCCCATTTAGGCTCTTTCCTTGAGGGTTCTTAACAGAAATGTTGTATACATTTCTTATTTCCATCATGCATGCTGCATGCCCTCCCAATCTCATCCATTAGTTGATGAGTAGAAATGATGGTCCTTCACCTGTTTCTTGGGTCCAGATGTTCTCTGATGCACTTTTTTTTCAGGCTCTCTCACAGGGAGGGAAACAAAATTTCATACTTTCGCAGAAGAATAGTTGAATCTTTTGTAATATATGAGTTCTTAAGTAGGACATCATTTAAATATAAAATATTTTGAGCTGAATTAATAGCGAGCATTTGACAGGTTTGATGTTATCTTGGTTTCATCAAGAATATAATTTCATTTGTGATAAGTTGCACCATGTGAAGATGAGATTTGCAATATAGTACTGATTGCTGCATTTATGAGGGCCCTTGTCTGGCCGAAGAAGGGGAGGAAGATCAGAATAGTGTGGGAAATGGAACAATGAACTCTGATGTTTTTAGTAATGGATGCAGTGCGAGAGTAGCTACAGTTCTGATGGAAACATTGACCTTTTATTACCATGAAACAGCTTCTGTATAGTTTTATTTTAAGATTTTTTTTACCATTGTTCCGTGAGACTATTATATATATTAATTATATCAGTTTACCTATAGGTTCAAAAAGGTGTCATGGTAAGGAATGATGTTTTATACTTGTGAGTATTATCTTGCCAGAATCTCAGAACTTAACCTGTGTCACTTAAAACTATCAGTAAAGTGTCCCTTGAACCTGTGGGTAGGTTTGATAAAGTTTATGGTACAGCTGAGACCTGAGGGTCACTATAGCAAGAAATCAGTAGAAGAAGATTCAAAAGACACTCCTTGAGAAAGAGAATATTTCTGATTATCTAATCCTCTCAGGCGTACAGCAGTTATTTTTAGTTTTATTATGTAACGATTTCTTTCAACTTGAATGATAGGAAATACATTTTATGTTATAGCTCTTCATTAAGTTGCACTTTCCATGAAATGCCGATTACCATTGGCATTATTTGTACCATATTGTATTTAGATTCATGTTTGACAGACTGGGATGAAATTTGATGAGGGTTGTTAAATATTATTGAATTGTAAAAGGTTAACTCTACTTGACTTCCCCCCTAAGCAGCCTGCTGGGTTGGCCTATCATCATCCGTTGCTATGGTAGCCACTTTCTTTTTTTGTTTAATGGCCTTGCCATTACATGTCTATATCTGCGTAAGCAGATTATAGCTAATTAGTGATATTGAAGAGGATCAATTTGTGAAGTGGTCAGAAATAATTGTCATGAAATGATAGTATAAGCCTAGAGGCATGTATACAAGACTGGCATAAAGCCTGCAGTTAATACATAATTCTTTCTGTATTTTATTAGACCACGTAATAGAATATTGATTGTCTACCAGTTGGAAGATTGAGTTTTGATTTCTAGCAGGAACAAATTTTTCTTTTTGTTGTCATGTCCAGACAGGCTCTAAGGCGTATCCGGCGTCCCGTCATTTGTGTATCAGAGACTTTTTTGCCGAGGTTAAGGGGACTAGAGTGAGAGACTGACCTTCGGCTTCCATCTAGTGCCGATGTTAATGTACGGAGCTATACCTCCACTCCGTCATACATATTCACAAACTTATAACTTCATTGTTCGGCACGAGCCATATCAAATGTTGGGTATTAACCAACGTCGTGTACATTGTAGTTGCCATCTTCAGGGTGAATGTGCGTTTTAAGAACCTTATATATGGAAGAGAGTAGGTGGCAAGGGATATTTTAATTGAAGGTCATTATTTCTTTTAATGTTGGATGTACTGGTAGTATTGTTTGTCACAGAAACTTTAAAATATCCCCCTGTTTATTTGTCTTTATTATGTCTGTGTATGCATCAGTACTTTTCGTTTTAGGAAGAAAGTAGTAGTAGGTATACTTACAAAGAAAGTTTTGTGATAATTTTAGGACATTTGTGATGAGACATTTGTATTAATTTTGTATTGGTATTTGGAGTAGACAAAATCAAATAATATACTAATGTGTTTAGCAACAGAAATTCAAGTTCCGATGATGTTGCTCTTCTGGGTCGACCATGTGGACTCGTAGGTAGATACCAGTGTTTCTCCAGAACATTGCTGATATCTGCCTACAAGTCTTCATGGTCTACCCAGAAGAGTAACATTGTTATCCTCACCGCCGTGAGAACCGCTAATCTCACATTGGTAATTTCTGTTAATATAAATAAACATATGTCTAAGCTGAATTTCCACATTACTTATTTGATACTGTGTTATATACAAATACTAATTTATTTTGCTACCAGAGTAATTTCTGTCTGCAAAGGCAGCAAATATGTTACTATAGTCTTGATTTTTCTCTCTGTTTCTCGCAGTTTCTGAAACAGACGCAGTGGGGTCAGACACAGGGGCTGCACAGGGGGTTCACCCCACGTA